TTCCATCAATATTGCTGAGGTTGTAGAGTATAATCCCTTCCAATTCTAACATTCTTGAGAAATTATGGTGGTTTCCTCTTGCTTTTCTTGAGCTTTGCCTTTCCATTGGTTCATTTATTCTTGAAGCTCATCCATTTCGTGTTGTCGACTAAGGTAAGACTTTTGTGACTTTTTGGTTTTGAATTGGACTCGTAACCTCTTGCTTTCCTGATGTAGATCTTTCAAATCACTATTGACCAGATCCCGTTCTTTTATGACTTTTTCTAATCTACTCTTTTGTATCTCTGTTTCATATTTCAATTATCTTATTTTTTTACGAGTATCAAATTTTCTCTTTTTATTTTTTTTAGCTTCTAATTCTTTCTTAATAAGCTTAACTTTTGATAATTGCACCTATTCCAAAAGATTAACCAATTGATATGAGCTGTCATCAGGAGGGAGTACTATGTCTCTAGGCTACATTACTTTCCAATCTGGTAATCAAAAGTGACTTTGTTGATGAGAGGCCCTAACCTCATTTTTTATGTTCTCTTCCATGCTTGGATCAACTACTCCGAGGTTCTTGATGGATTCAATTCCCTAAAAATGAATTCTACTTGGACCAGGCCATGAGTAGCAGGAACAAACTACTTTGCACTAAATTGCCTAAGCACCATTAATGGAGCATAACTTATAACACTCCATAGCCCTAATAATAGTATCCATGGCTCGTTTCCTCCATGATACAACAAGTCACCCGAGGCATCCAAGGTGCCATTCATTCAATTCCATCCCCGGTAAGCCTTCGTAAGAAAATGACTCACTCTTTTTTAGTTTTCAATGTTGGCCATTGACTTTTGCAAAAACTCTTCAATTGGTGCTTTATTTTGTAGATACGACTTCAAAAATGCACTCTTCCCACACTTGAATTGACTTCTAATGCATACATATAATAGAGATGCACATCCTATAAATCATCACTTTTCATTTTGTCGACAGAAATTCAATGACTTGATGGATTCAGTTAAGACTGCTAGAGCGGGATTAATTGCTTGGGTTTCAATTTGCTCAAGAAAATCTACCATAGTTATCTCAATGTAACCCAAAATTTTCGGACAAATTATCATGCCATACAATGCTAGAACAAACACAGCCATACCTTGATCATCATTTAAATGCTCCTGAATGAAGTTTCAGAGAAAGTCCTAACGAATGCCGAGATGTTCACCTTTAGACTTCGCGAAGGAATCAATGGTTTCTACTTTAACCCCCATAAGCTTGGCTAACTTTTTACGATAACCTAATTTTGGCTTTCGGGTAAATACTTTATCTGGACATTGTAGTTTTATTCCAAGTAAAATCGAATACTCTTCAATAGTTGGCACCAAATCTTCCTAATTAAAAGTGAAGCATCTATAGGATGGATCTCAAAACTGTATAGCTGCCTTGATCAGTTGTTCATCGATCATTACTGAAATGAGGGATGCAATCTGTTCGTACTTTTTACAAAAGCTTTTTTTTTCTTCACTTAACTGACCTCAGACAACAGCTAACTCTTTTAAATCATTCTGCGTGAAATCTAAATACACTTTTTCGAGTAATTCAGACACAAAACTGGTAGGTAAATAATCTCCATTCTTTTGTTGAGCTTCTTTCAACCAAACATATACTTCATTATACGGCTCACATGGCACACTGACTAAGGATGAACAAATCTGTAGTTCTATAAGATCCATAAAAACTTCTTAGGAAAAATATGTCCTAGAGCAAATATCTCGATGCAGAACTGTATGATATGATTAATGCAGAAAAGAAAAAAAAATGAAACAAAATCGAGTTAGTGTGAGGATGTCGTTTAAGAAAAAAATATTTTTTATTTTTTAGTGTTTTTTTTATGTTTTGAGATTTTTTGTTTGTTTTATTTTATTTTGTATTATACACAACTTTTATTCTTAGGTATTTCCTACAAGAAGGTGGACGAGGCTCTACATAAGGTTGGTTTTTTAGGCTTATTATATGCTGGGTTTAGATTGATAGTGTCTAAAGGTTCCCAAATTGTTCCTCACTGTCGTCCATGTTGGACTAATAAGGCACCTCGATCCTCAACCATTACAGGCTACGAACAGAAAGGGTTCAATTCGAGTGAAAGTATTTCGCTTACCATTGCAGAGGTTGTCACCTCACGAAGGCATAAGTACTTTACTTCCTCTTATAAAGGACGAAGCCCAGGTATAGAGCTCACGCATGAGATACATCGTGTCATTGTGTGCAAATATATCCTAATTTATTGAGAGTAATATATACAGAAAAATAAAACATAAGAGGTATAGTAAAAGAAATGTGTGTGAACTTTTTTGCTTTTTATTTTCGATTTGATTTTTTTTACCTTTTTTATTGAAAATGAAAAATAAAAATCTAAGAAATTGATTAAGACTGTTTAAATCAAAATTTAAGGATAACAAGTAGTTAGATTTTGCCTGACTCTCGAAAATAAAAGGCAATCCCCAGCGGAATCGCCAAACTGTCATAACGGTTTTGTGCTCGCCTCACGAATTTGGAAACAAAAATAAAAGAATAAAAAATGGAGTTGCCACCAATCTTTTTTGGCTAGGTGTGATTGGCCACTTATTAAAATTTATCCTTCTAATAAGATTTTAAAATTAATTAAAATTTATTAAAAAGATAATTTCACGATCTGCGAAACAGTCTGAATTCGAGAGTCGGTTACGCGTGGGAAAAGATTAGCATCCCCACGATGCCCGTTTAAAAATGATACCACTTAACTACGTGTTATCCTTTGATTTTGATTAAAAATAGTCTCATTCTCAGTGTTTGAAAAAATAATTTTCTTGATTTTTTTGGAAATTGGTTTGTTTGGTTTTATTTAAAAAAAATTATTATTCAAGAAAAAATAAATTAGAACCTTTTTTATTGAAATAATTCTCAAATACTCCAGTACATTGGTAATATTAGAAGAACTCTTTCTCACCTAAAGATTTCTTAGGCATCGTTTCTCGGAATACCAAAAAATCTTATCCTCGGAGGTTCGAATTTACTTTTGTAAAAATTATATCATGCATGCAATGCAAATAATAACATGATGCACACTTTTTATTTTTTTTATTTTCAAAAAATTTATTAATTTTTATTATTATTCTTATTTAAAAGAAATGAATAACAGAGGAATTTTTATTGTATTGAAGATTTTTTATAAATATTTCAATACACTGGTAATATTTAAGAAAAACTCTTATCACCTAGAGATTTCTTAAAGCATTCTACTCGAAATACTTTTGGAATCCTATCATCGGACAAAATTTCTTTTTTTCTCATTTTTTATTACCTATTTTTAATTTATTAGTTAATTTTATTATTATTATTTTATAAGAAAAAAAAAATTTTTATTGTATTGAAAATTTTTAAATAAATACTCTAATACATTGGTAGTATTTTAAAAAATCTTATCACCTAGAGATTTCGTAAGTATCACTACTCGGAGTACCTTTAAATCTAATCGTCGAACAAAAATTTTTTTTTCTTATTTATTTTGTTATTATTTTATAAGATTTATTCTAAAATTAATATAATTATCAAAAAATTTTATTATATATTTTATTATTAATTATTATTATAAAATAACAAAAATTTATTTTGTTAAATTTAATCATTTTAACATGCATAAATATTAAGAATAATAATAAAAATAATAAAATAATATAAAAAAAAATTTTTTACCTGAACCGGGTCGGTCAACAATACGATCAATGCGCGGTTTGGTCGGGTTCAATGGTTCGGTTTGGCTGTTCAATTGCGTTCAGAGGTTCAGTTGCAATCCGGGTTAGGTTCAGCGGTTTGATTTCGGTTCAGTCAGATCGATCAAAGGCTGATGAAAAGTGGGTCACGGGTTGAGTGCGCGAATCCTAGGTCGGGTCACGGGTTGACGCGCGGATTCTGGGTTCTTAAAATGACATTATTTAGAGCTTTTATTGAAACAACCTCATTTTAGTTTTGGCAGTTTATATAAAAGGTATTAATTTTTTTCGATCATTTTCTCCCTTTCCTAAAAGAAAATACCTTTTTTTTTCTCTTTTTTTTTTCAGGCCACTAAGGCTGGTGGCAGTCCGTCGTGACAACCGCCGTGATCCTGCCGGCGGCCAGCTCTGATCGTCGATGCCAGTGTTGAAAAATTCTAAAAAACACTCATAAACTCATTTTGACCCCCTAAATACAGATATGACATTCTTTTCACCAAAAAGAATCCCTAAATCCCTAGATCTGCTCTTAAAGTTTCGGTGAAACCATTTTTTTGGGTATTCTAACTTTTTTATTTTTTTTGAAACTGACTTTATTTTTTTTTGTGCAGGGGCTCTCAGTGCTGGATTCTTCTCTGCCGAAAGGATTGAGCTTTTATTTTTTTTTATTTTTTTATTTTTTGCATTTTTTTGGTAGAATGTATTTTTTTCGCGGGGTTCCCTTCTTCATTCTCCTTCTTTGGGTTCGACTAAAAGCTCTATAAATAAAGCTCTGGCAGTGCGTGGCACAAGGCCCAACATGGGGTACAAGTACGAGCCCCATGTCTTTTTTATTGTTTTTGTTTTATCTGATAGTGGTAGGGCTAAAAGCCAACGGGATGGGTAATCAGAGGGATGGGGATAAGGCATGGTGGCAGTGGTCCCCGAGAAGGCACCACTGCCATCCTCTCTTTTTTTGTTTTTATTTGTTCTTTTTTTTTATATTTTATATTTTTTGTATTCTATATTTTTATTTAATTTTTATTATTATATTTAATAATATTATTATTATCTTATTGATTATTTAATAAAAATAATAAATTGACCAAGGATAAATTTGATGTCTATAAAAATTAAATTAAATATGATAAAAACAACGTAATTTATTAATTTCTAAAGAAAAGAAAACATAACTGATTGATTTGGTTAAGGAAACAGAACATACTATGTAACAGAGTACATTTGTCCTTTAGCTGTTTTTTCGAAACATTAAAGAGAAACAAAAGGAAGGAGTCGCGCGCTATTCTGTCCTCTCCAAAAAAATAAAAAACTGATCTTCTTCTCCAAATCCAATTAATCTTTTCGTTTTTCAATTGGATTGGTTTCCTCCTTCTATTAATCTCCTCCATAGAAAAACCCTTCCTTTTTTTAGCCTCGAAAAAAATTTTTCTATTTCTCTCGTTTCCTTGAGCTTTTCAATGACCTTTTTCATCTTTGATTCTTAAAAGAATTTAATTCAACGACACCACCACCGACCTTTTGTTCCCTCCTCCTCTTCTTCTTCCCATTCTATAGAATTTAATTCAAAGTCAACTTTTTCGTCTACATATCTCTTTAAATACGCTTTTTCGTTTCATTTATTTTTCTGGGGTATTTTTTTTATTTTGTTTTTTTATTTTGCATACTCTACTTTGCATGCCCGTTTTTCCTTCTTGGGTTTTCTTTGTTATTGGTTTTTCTGGGTTTGTTCCTTTTTTGTTTTTATTTTTTTTATTTTTTAAAAATTCTGGGCCATTGGTCTTGGTCAGCTAGTGGTGGGAATTGCGTCGTTTTCTTAGGGGCTTTACTTTTTCTTTTTTGTTTTGTGTTTGTTCTTTTCTGTTTGCAATTATTTAATAGTTGGTGATGGGGAAAATTTTGTTTTTTATTTCAGCTACAATGTTTAATTTATTTCGGGTCTAAATAAAACACTAATTTTCCTTTTTTTTTAAAATACAAAATCACAAATTTTGGTTATAAGGTCAATATTGTATAGAGTTCTAATAAGATTTGGGGTTGGTAAAACTGGGTTTTATATCTGATCATATTTATAGGTTGTTTTACCTGTTTTATTTGATTGATATTTGGTCTGCTGTTTTGCTTCTTTTATTGTACTTTAACTTCATAATCAGTTTTGCTCATGTCAGGTTAAGGTAATAAATAGATAGGTTGAACCTTGGTTTTGTTTTGTTTTGTTTATTTTCATAAGTTTTTAGTTGGTGATTTTGTTATTCTATGAGCATGGATTTGAAGTGTGGAGAGGAAGGTGGTGGTGTGAAGACACCTAAGAAATCAGATGAACAACAAGGAGGTGGAAATTCGAAGATGAAGGGTACTGGAGGCATTAGTAGCAAAGATATGATCTTTAGAGCTGATAAAATTGATTTAAAAAGCTTAGATATGCAGCTGGAGAAGCATCTGAGCCGGGTTTGGTCTAGAAACATTGAGAACCGAAGGCCTGTAGAGGAGTGGGAGATTGATTTGGCTAAGTTGGATTTAAGGCACGTTTTAGCTCATGGAACCTATGGGACAGTGTATCGTGCCACTTATGATAATCAAGATGTTGCAGGTAATTCTTTATATTTGTTTTAATTTGATCTTTTGTTAAGGATGGAGACAGAAGAAAAGAAAACTAGAAACCCATATCTTTGTTTTATTTATGTTATTTCTTAAGCTTTGTGGCTTCTTGTTGATCAAAATGGCCAAATTATTTGAGCAGTTTGACAATTCCGTTTATGCAGCAACAATGCCTCGGTATTTCCTACACTGAGTTTGTGCAGTAAAATATGTGCATCTGTAATTGAACTTTTCATTGATAGTTTGTCGAGTTCAAATAAGGATTTCTAAAATTTTTGTAGTCTCTTCTAATTTTGGAGCAATATGCATTAGTTTAGTAGACAGAGAACTAAATTTATGCCAATGATGTCTAGATGATAAGTGTGATTTGTAAAGTTTGGTGATGTTGGCCAAGCCAGATTGGGGTTTAAATTGTCACATACAACAGTTTTTGTAGTTCATGATAGCTATCACTTCATAACTGCTTGCTTTGCTAGTGCGTTGGTTCAATTCAAATGTGCTCAATTGGAACTACCCTGATACTAGAGCACTTCCTCATAAACTAATGCAATTCAATTGTGCTTAATTCAATTGACTTTATCTTTTATTGGATTGTGTTGTGGGATATTTCTGCTTGATATTGGTGTTTCTACTCTATTCTGTTATATGTTATTGATATTTGGTTGATTTCTGGAGAATTTTTGAAGTTTCACCTGGCAATCTGATTTTTTTTTTTACTTTTTGATCCTCCCATTGCCCAACACATTGATTGACAATTAAATATAATTTGTTGTCACTTATAATCTATTTGAAGAACTCAAATCTAATTTCGATGCTGTTTTTCTCATTTAAATGTCTACATGTACACATAGAGTTTCCTATATAGGTTTTACCACCTCTGTCTTGTGTAGTTGAGCATTAGCAGATTCCACTATGTTTGAATATCTGTATGCTAATTAAAATGGAAGATGGTTATGATGAATTTTTCATTAATTTAATTGTTTGTGTCTTTCTGTGGAGTGCTCTTTGTTGTTAACTATTTAGTAATAATAACATGATTTGGTTTCTGATATAGGCTGCATAGAAACCATTACTTTCTTAGGCATGTTACAATAAGAATGCATGTTTAATTTCTAAAATAATTTAGAGTGCCTTGAGGATTTTAGCCTTTCACAAAGCTAAAAATGACATAGTAGAGAAAATGACTAGTGGTTCCTTGACCTTTTGAATATAGTAAGGAACTTGCAGTGAAGTCTGGCTGCTGGTGAATTGATCTAGTAGGTAGTTTTACTCTTGGTATCCTAGTCAGCTTTCTTATAATATTGACTACTTCGAGAATTTATAGCCTTCAGCACTTTTTTTATTATGAAGTCTGACTGCATTCTCATGTTGATGTTGTAGTTAAGCTGTTGGACTGGGGCGAGGATGGTATTGCAACAACAGCTGAAACTGCTGCTCTGCGAGCTTCATTTCAGCAAGAGGTTGCTGTTTGGCACAAGCTTGACCATCCTAATGTTACAAAGGTTCAATTTTTTTTCTATTCTGAAATGTTTACTTGTTGATATCATCATGACAGTGAAAGCCATAATATAAATATTGGCATTTCTTGAATGCATTGTTATCATTTCAAATAATTGGAAGTTTACTCTATCTCTTTGCATGATTAGCTTGCTGTTTTTTGATTCATGGCCATTCGGTAAAAATTAAAATTTCTTCTTTTCTTTGTCGAAAATTTTCTGTTGTAACTTGTGCTTTTTAATTTTGGGTTATAGTTTGTTGGGGCCTCAATGGGAACTTCAAACCTTAAGATTCCTCCAAAAAATCCTTCAGCTGATAGCCACAATTCCCTTCCTTCTAGAGCATGCTGTGTTATAGTGGAGTATCTCCCTGGTGGCACACTGAAACAATACTTGATAAGAAATAGGCGAAAGAAACTTGCCTTGAAGGTTGTGGTCCAACTTGCTCTAGACCTCTCTAGAGGGTAAGTGAATGCCTTTGTAATTGGTTTGGGCAGTCTGCAAATAAAATTTACCTAATGACAATTATACTTCTTGGCAATCGCAGTCTTAGCTACCTACACTCGAGAAAGATTGTACATCGTGATGTCAAAACGGAGAACATGTTATTAGATGCTCACAGAAATCTCAAAATTGCTGATTTTGGTGTTGCTCGTGTTGAAGCTCAAAATCCAAGGGACATGACTGGTGAAACTGGTACTCTTGGATACATGGCTCCAGAGGTATGCCTTTTCAAATGTTTTGATAAAACATGGGTAGTTGAAAGCTTAATCATTTATGTCACCAGAGGTCTGCCGTCCACAAGATAACATATCCATATTTTGTCCAAATTGATTAATAAGATGAAAATTATAGATGATGCATCCAAATATTATGCATGGTGGTAAAAATATTCTCTACATGGGGGCTCGTTGTATCTTCTTTGCACCTGAAGACTCAATTTGATTTGCAAACTTTGCTGTGAAGAAGACTAAGTTAGTGGGTGAGTCATTTTTGGTAATCTGATATGCAAACGTGCCATGCATATGCTCACATGCAGGAAGAAGACAAGAATTGTAAACTATTTGAAGCACCCGATCCTTTGTTTTCTATGAACAGCAGAAAGCTAACACAATTATTGTGTAGGTTCTTGATGGTAAGCCCTACAATAGAAGATGTGATGTCTACAGCTTTGGCATTTGCTTGTGGGAAATTTATTGCTGTGATATGCCTTATCCAGATCTTAGCTTTGCTGATGTGTCATCTGCTGTTGTTCGACAGGTTAGTTTGCTGTTGAAGTTTCTGTTTGAAATATTATGACAAGAGACCCTGATGCATGTCTCATTATTGTATTCAATTTGTGGTTTTGAAATGGCATTGAAGAATGATTACTTTTATTTTGATTTGAGAGCCTTTGCACGCTTAGGGTCATTGATAGGATTCTTTTTGATTTGAGAGTCTTTGCATGTTTAACTTTAGCGATATCATTTATATCTTACTTGATTTAATATGATTAGTTGAAGTTTTTGTTTAATATTTGTATTGAACTTTTTTTTTAATATATATAAATTCAAGAGCTCTCATTTAGATTATCATATGCAAGCCTCGTTTTAGTTGAGTTCAAAGTTTCTTTAGATTGTTTGCATAGTTTTAATTCTAATAATATAATTTTTTGGGTCGACATTAAAATTTTTCGTCCTCTCCAATCGTCTATGTCCGACTTTCAGATGTAGGGTCTATTGTCTTGTCCTCCGCAAAAGGTATTTATGTTTGTAACTAGTTTAAGCTAAGGTAAAATAGAGAAGCCATTCTGCATGTTTTGTAATCAGTAAAGGATTGAATTGATTATGGAAACTACACCCTCCATGGTTTATCGGCAGAATTTACGACCAGAGATCCCGAGATGCTGCCCGAGTTCATTAGCAAACATAATGCGAAAATGCTGGGATGCAAACCCGGAGAAACGACCTGAAATGGATGAGGTAGTGAGGATGCTAGAAGCAGTTAATACAAGCAAGGGAGGAGGGATGATACCAGATGACCATATGCCAACTTGCTTCTGTTTGACCCCTGCACGTGGTCCATGATTCTAGAGCCCGGATTAGCAATGTTGTTTAAAAAAATTAGTTTTTTGGTGTTTTTATGTAACTGTCACAGTTATAAGAAAAGTTTTACCACCATTGAAATTAAATTGGTGCCTTACTTTTAAATTTTTACTTTTATATTTGATTAAAAATTTTCTTTTTCTCAAAACCAAACACAAGATCTAATCCTAAGAATACCATCTTATATTTTAAACCTTTAATTTCTCATATTTGAAATAAATTAAATAAAATCATCTATTAAAATATTCAAACATCAAAATATTAAGTTTAATAATTTATAAAATAAAATGATTTAATGTATTTTTAATTTTTTTATTTATAATAAATTTTTAATTTTTTATTTATAATAAATAATATTTACGATGGATTTAATAAATTAATGAATATAGTTTCGTTTATAATTTTTTAATAAAAGCACTTATTAATGAAAATTTATAGATTAATTTGTATGTAATATGTGCATTTCATTATCATTCCTTACATATTAAATTAAATCTAAATCCATTAATTCAAATATATCTTTCAAAATATAATTAAAAAATAATAGAATAATTTTTTTAGAAAAAGTTAAAACTTAAAAAAAAAAAAAAAAAAGAAAGGCCCAAGAAAAAAAATTAATTTGAGGTGTTATGTGAACACCATCATTTAAAGATGGCAATGGGTTAGGTTAGGTTAGGAGTGATTTTTTGCTCATTTCAATCCTAACCCAATTCTTTAATAATTCAACATGATTTCAACTCAAATATGATATCGGATTATTATTTTTTATACTTGATCTCAATTAAACGCAAATATTTGTTACCGCATCCGACGTAATTTAACTTAAAATGAATTTAATCATTTTAATTTAGAATAATGTGTATAAAACTATTTTTTTGCCAAGAATCACATTGTTTATTTGTAAAGTACTAGATTTTTAGTTTTAGTGATCAGATCAATTTTTAATAACTTTAAGTATCAAAAATATAAAATTATTATTTTTTTAATATAAAATATATTTTAATTATGTAAATGCAATATTTTATTTAATTAAGATATTACATAATAACTTGATTAATATAATATATATAATTAAATAAATAATAAAAATATTTTTATATATATCATGAGGAAGGCGAGACGGAACACAATCTAATCTAGAATTTCGAAAAGGAAAAATTGCCATGGCTTTTTATTGCATTAAAATGTTAGTATTTTCTTATTTATTTTTAATATAATTTCTCTTGTATTTTAATTTGTTTTTTGAGAATATTGATAAAAAATACTTCTAAATGTATATTTATCTTATATATAGGTAAAAATATAAAAATTAAAGAATTTTGGACAATTTGAACTCAATTTACAAGATTTATGATGGTAAAACCTAGCAAAGTCAAAACTAACATATTTGTGTTTCATTGCCGATTAAGGAAGTTCTTCTTACCCTTCGCTTCTATGATTTCTTGAACTCAAATAAGCTTTATAAAATCTTATTTTAAGTATCAATTCTCATAATTTTCTCAATCCACCTTGGTTTTACCCTTGTCTTTCGGGTTTGGCGTCGGGTCTTCTCAATCCGGCTTATGTTCCTTCCCTGGTTTGGGTTTCCTTCGTGCAACAATCATCCATGGTCCATAATCGTCATTATTAAGCCTTTCTTTGTTGGCTGCTTCTTGCTGTTCTGGAGATTGTTAAGTTGGGGTCGCATTAGCTTCAGTTATTTTGTTAAGAGTGCAAACTTACTTTTTATAACCAATGAGACCACTGTAAAAGCAAAGATTAACACCTTCATATAACACAATTTGCATTAACTTCCTGATTTTGATTTTAGGCACCAATGGCCTATCTAAATCGACTTGAATGCAGATTCCTACGTATCTGCCACGAGCATTTAATTCCATATGTGCATTAATTTTAAGCAAAGCACCGAGCTGGTGGCCTATTCTTTGTAAAATGCCTTGTCAAAGTATTCAATAAGTAAGCTTGGTAGATGCATACAGACTGCATTGGTTGTACTTGCAGTGTACGATTTCGAAGAGAAAGCCAAGCTCCCAAAGTCTCATTGTCAAGTAATAAGGACCCACAAACCAACATTCTTTTCGAAAGTTTTCACAATGATGGCATTTTTCCAAGGGGCTCTAATCCTGCTCTTTTCTTCTTTAAAAAGAAGTATTGTTGGGACTTCATCCCTTTCATCATATTATTGGTTTGATTCTTCATCCATGAAACTTGGCTGGTTAATAAATGAGAATGAATGATTATCCTAAGAACCCATCAAGGAATCTCAATAAAAGGTAGAAGGTTGTTGACGATCTAACATTTCATGGTCAATGATTTGAAAACTCCATTCTTGGTTTTTTTGATGCTGTGAACTTTCAAGTCTTCTTCTTCACAGCAAGTTGGAATGTTTTTCTCCACTTTCAGAGCAAGTTATTTGGGACTTTACCGTACTCTCTTTTATAGCGAGGAATGTCATGTAAGGTCGACGGTCAATTTAACATCAGCTTGGACAAGGATTATATATATATATATATATATATATGTATAACAGGTTGCAATTTGAAAATTAAAAAAAAAAAATTACAGATGTGGGGATTTATTTTACCTTATTCTCCTTTTTATAGCCGGTAATATCATGTAAGTACGATGCTCAATTTGACATTGGCTTGGATAAGGAATATATATATATATATATATTATTTTTATATAAAAAATCGTAATTTAAAAATTAAAAAAATTTAAGTGTTAGAGATTTAAACTTCGAAATTACTTATCTTAAAAATAACAATATTAATCAATTAAACGAAACTTGCATTTAAAGATTTTATATATTTTGAAAAAAAATCTATTTAAAAGTTGGTGAAAAAAACCTATCTAAAAGAATTAAGTATCTAAAGTTATTTAATATTCTAATTTTAATTTATGTTAAAATTTCATTTAATTATTCTAATAATTAACTTTTATATCTATTTAATTTTTTTAAAAAGAAAATTAGTAAAGTTAGAAATACGAAATAAGAAAATAAAATTTGGAGGAACATTTTCTAAATAAGTAAAAGAAAAATATATAATAAAATATTAAATATAGGCTATACTAGTCTACCAGGTATATTGAAATTAATCTGCAAAAATTAGTATTCATTGAAAGTAACCCAAAATTGTCACTATTCACATATTCCGTATGGAAAATTTTCATTCGTAACTCTTAATATTTTATCTCGATTTGATTTTAGTCCTTAACTTTTGAATTGCTGTCTATCATATAATGTTTAAGGACTAAATAAACAAAACTAAAATAAAAATGTTTGAGATTTTAGCAAGTTTGTTAATATCATACTCCTCAATGTTTCAATTTTCTTTAAAAAATGGTATGTGCAGGTATTAGTTGTTTTGATATATTATTTTAGATTTTTTAAATTTAGAGTTTAAGCCTATACAATATTTTAAAAAATTAAATAAATAAATTTTAAAATATAACAAATAATATTAATTTACTATGATATTTTTTAAATACTTAATATGATTATATGATATTTAAATAAACATTTTTTTAATGTAAAAATATATTAAGATAAAAAAAAAATATGAAAAATAAATTAATTTATCTTTAAAATTCTTAAACTTTAGAAAGGAAGTGCAATTATTTTCTTGAAATAGATTAGAATATTTATAAATTTTGGTTTGAGAAAATAAAGCTTAAAAGAAAATAAGATGCAATAAAAGATAAAGAAACCTAACTTTCAAAAGTTATTTTGCCCATTAGTTTTATTTTTATTAAGTTTAAAATAGTTAAACAACAAACGATAAATTAAATATTACAAAACATATTTTATATTCAATTACCGATTGAAATAAATTATTTCATCAAAATTTATTGAAACTAATCGAAATAATAAAAAAATCGATATTATTCAATATCAAATTCGATAAAAAAAACTACCTTTAAGTTATCTGCATTTTGATATAATTGAAATATATCGATTGATATAGTTGATATCGAAATGAAATTAATAAAAATAAATTTTAGACAGAATTTATCCATTCATGAATTGATGAGAAACATATGTCCAAAGAGGATAGCAAATGAAGCTTTGAATAATTAGAAATTAAAGATTATTCAAAATGATAAAGATAATTTTGAACTATAATAAATAAAAAATCTAATATATCATATATATATATATATATATAAGAGAAATTATTTAAGATTAAACTATTTTTTCCTTTGACTTGTTTTTTCATATTTTAAATTTATTAGAATTAATTGTTAAAAAAAGTGTAAAACTAAAAATTTTTATATTGATATAAATTGATCTCTTCTTATATATATGATGAGAGATCACCTTACACACATGTAAAATTTAAAAGTTTTATATTTTTTTTTATCATTGATTTCAACAATCCAAGGAATGAAAAAGATAAATAAAAACAAGATTTAATCTCATTTTTTTTAATTTATTAAAAACAATAATTATGAAAAGTTATAAAATTTTTTAATTTTAAATTATCACTAATTTACACACGTACATATATGTATAGAAATGGATCAACTTATATTAGTATAAAATTTTTTAGTTTTACATATTTTTCTAACAAACGATTTTAATAAAATCAAGATATGAGATTAAATTATTTATTTATTTATCTCTCTATTCTCTTATATTTATTAAAATTAATAATAAAAAATGAAAAATTAACACGTTTTACATCGTTATAAATTGATTTTACTCATATATATATTTACATAGTTGAATCGTAATCATTACCCCTATTTTTATTAAATCTTATTGAGATGTCATTCACTTACTAATTTAATCAATCCTTCGAACTTGGCAAGAAGAGCTAGTAAATTAATAATAATTAAATAAAATAATTGGCACGTTTGATGAGGTTGCCAGTTCATTTGGCTGAGACTAATTGTACAAATATTGTTCTAATTCCCAAACCAAAGACCCAAAAAATATCACGTAATTTAGGTCTATTAGTTTGTGCAAAGTCATTTATAAGATCATTTCAAAAGTTTTCATTAATAGGCTTAAACTACATTACCTGTTTACATTAGTGAGTCATGAAATGTATTTGTTTCAGGTAAATAAATTTTCGATCATGTTTTAGTTGTCTATGAACTTTTGAACACTTTGAAAACTAAAAAACGGATTAAAAAAAGGGGGATTTTTGCCTTAAAACTAAATATGAGCAAGGGTCATGATCGGGTGGAATAATTTCCTTGAGGCAATCATGGGTAGACTAGGTTTTCATTCCAGTTGTATTTATAAGATAATGAAATGTGTTACTATTGTTTCCTACTTTTGTTGTAAATGGTGGCATTATTAATGAGTTTTATGCAGGAATAGGTCTTCGTTAAGGAAATCCTCTATCCCCTATTTGTTTCAGTTAGGTTAAATGATAGCCAGAGACGGGCTATTATTTGGAGTGTAGGCTAGCCGAAATGATCCCCGAGTTAATCATTTTATTTTATTTTTGCTAATTATAGTCTTTTTCTTTTTTTTTTTTTTTTTTGCTAAGGCAAATAAAAGCAAAAACGAAAAGGTGAAACATGTGATAAAGCGTTGCGAAAAAAGCTCGCACAAAAAGATTAATTTTGATAAATCGACATTGTTCTTTAATAGTAATAATGGAAAATAATAGATGGAGGAAATAAAGAATATGTTTGGAATCCAAGAAACCAAAAATATTGAGAAATACCTAGACCTACCTTTAATAGTCAAGAAAGATAAAAGAAGGGCATTCAAAGAATTTAAGGACCGAATTAGTGCAAAAATGAATGCGAGGTGTCAAATAATGTTATAGCAAGGTGGGAAAGAATTGTACATGTCGTCCATCTTGCAATCTATTCACACATATGCCATGAGTTGTTTCCTCCTACCACAGTCTTGTAAGAAAAATGAATGGCTTGTTTAGTAACTATTGGTGAAGGCATGATAAAGAGGAAAAAAAAAAAAAAAGCCATACATTAGCAAAGTTGGAAGAAAATGTTGTCCTAAAAAAGATGGAGGCATGGGCTTTCGAGAAATAGGAAACTTTAACAGAGCTATGCCAGCTAAACAAGGGTGGAGGATTCTGACAAATCTTAGCACACTAGCACACAGAATTCTTAAAGCTAAACATTTGCGGCATGGCTCATTCTTGGAATCTGATCTTGGAATATGCCCATCTTTAAAATGGAGAAGCATATGGGCAGTAAAAGCGGTATTGCATCAAGGGGTGAGATGGCGTGTAGGTAAAGGAAAATCTATTCAAATATGGAAGGACAAATGATTACTTTCGCCGAATCATTCAGACCTCAAACATCAAGGGGAAACTACGATGAGAAAGGGTTGGTGTCTGAGTTGATTGATGGGCAAACACGGAGCTGGAATTGGCTGTTATTCAAGACATGTTTACACAAGATGAAGTAGAAGCAATCTGTGCTCTATCATTAAGTAAGCTTGATTTGCCTGATAACCTGATTTTGCATTTTGATAATAAGGGCATATATACAGTAACAAGTGCATATAGGATGCTGTGTCGGATATTACAAGAGATTGGTTTTGAGGTAGGGAACAATGAGGATCTTAAAAGAGGCCAAGAAATTTAGACAAGGATATGGTCAGTTTCATTACGAACGAAGATAAAAATTTTAAGGTGGAGAGCAAGCCGAGGAATCCTTCCAGTGATGGCAAATTTGGCAAGAAGACAAATTCCAGTGTCAACCATGTGTAAAAGATGTGGGAACAATGAAGAAACAGTGATCCATGCAGTGAAAGAGTGCTGTTGGGTGAGAGAGGTATGGCAACACCCTAACTACCAGTAGGAAGAAGATACTGATCAGCAATTGGAGTCTCTACACTGGCTCTCGAAAGGAATGAAAAAATTCAATGACGAACAACTACAGTTGTTTATGATAGGTATGTAGACAATAAGGAATGAGTCATTCATGACATGAATCCTTGTATAAACTACAGTGTTTTGTCAATGTCACAACAAAATACTTAGTACTATTTTCTCAGCTTTTGTTTTCCTTAATGATGTCGCTTGAATCAAGTGCAGGCATATGCTGAGCTTCTCATGGAGGAAGGTATAGACATTCTAGCTTGGTTTTCTTTTACCTCCAAGGATGGAGTCAATGTGGTTTGTGGTGATTCTATTAGCAAGTGTGCCTCCATTAAGGATTCATACAAGCATATACTTGCTATAGGAATAAATTGTATCCCTCCTAGATGTATCCATTGTTAGGAAAATGGGGTCCAGTCCCATGTAAGTGGTTTTGGACCAAGTAAAGGTCATGGGTCTTGATCTTTTATTTTACACAGAGCCCTAACTACTTAATAAAAAAGAGGTGGGGTTGTTTAAGGTGTGTGTCGACAACCAAGCAGAGAAAGAAGAAAAGCCAGGAAAAGCAGAGAGAGAAAAAGGAGAAGGGAGAGTTGGTTAAACGGAAGTCGATCCGTGGTTCGATTGAGTTGGAACCTTGTCAGGAGGTTTATGATTCAGAGTTATACATTCTTAACGGTGAAGATCGGGTTTGAAGCTCTCTAGGAATAAATCCAAGGTGTATTTGTTGAGTCACTTATTTGGTGAGATTTCTCCAATTGTTTCTTTAGTTGTTGATTAGCTCTAGTTTTAGCTAGAGAAGAACTTTGTATAACTATTATTTGATAGTGAAGATTTTTCTGGTGGCCCGTGGTTTTTCCCTCTACACTGGAGGGTTTTCCACGTAAATCTTGGTGTGTTTTATTTTTCCTGCGTATTTGATTATTGATTGTTGTCTATTGTTTCTGTATTGTTGTGATTATTGCTTCAGGCGCAACATCCATGGATTAATTGTCTCCATTAGGAAGGTAATCATATTTGAGTGTCTGTAACTTCTTTTTAGCTGAATTTTGCTAAGTTTTTACTCCTCCCTTAAACAAAATATGTCCTGAAATGAAATGTTCAGATTATAATGGCAGTTATGCTGACAATGGTTTTGTAATTTCAGTTCAAATAAACCAGTAACATATATCCAAACAGTGGTGAGACTTATGATGCAGAAACCAAGCAATGAGTGGTGAGCAACTACCTGGATTTTTTCTAATGGTTTTTTAGTACTAAATAGTGGTTAAGAAACTGAATTCATGCTTTCATTTGCAGAAACCAGCTGGAGTAGTAGATGAAGATTTTGTATCATATGTAGGCAAATGGCAAGATGCCATCAAGGCCATATCCAGGATTCTCTTTGACAAATCTTACTAACCTTATCCAAGGCTGATGTGTAGATAACAATCAGATGTTAATCTGACATTTTGCTTTGTTGGTAATTGATCCCTTGAATCCTAATGGAGCATAAATCTCCTAATGAAATCAATGTAATGATACACCGTGTTAAAATAATAAGAAAGGTTTGTTTTAGTTAGCTGCCAGCTGACAAATGCAGCATCCAAGTGGCATTATTGCTGATAGAAATCAATTTGTTTTTGTGTAAACATTTCTGTCATGTTTGGTAGGTTAGTTGGGATGATTTATAATTTGTGGTACAAGATAGGGTGTTGTACAGGAGAGCATAATTAGTGCGTTGGTACAAGAGAGTATGTTCAAAGAAGCCACTGAACTTTTCCGAATGATGTAAAATGAGGGAATAAAAGCAGATAGGGATGGGTGACTATGGTGGGTATTGCATCTGCCTGTGGATATTTAGGAGCGTTTGATCTTGCTATGTGGATCCTTATGTTAAAAAGAACAAGGTTCCCTGTGACGTTGGGTTAATTAAAGCTTTAGTTGATATGTTTGCTAGGTGTGGTGACCTTTTAAGTGCAATGGAAATATTCAATAAAATGAAAAATAAAAAAAAAAGATGTGTCATCTTGGACTGCCGCGATTTGAGCAATGGCCATGGAGGGAAACGGTAAACAAGCTATTGAGCTTTTCAACAAGATGCTCAGCAAGGAGTCAAACCAGATGAAGTAGCTGAGAGCATGCAACCGCGGAGGGTTAGTTGGACAAGGCCAGGATTTCAGGCCAATGAAGCCAGTCCACAGAATCGCTCCCCAAATTGTGCACTATGGTTGCGTGGTTGATCTGTTTGACGGCACTGGAATGTTGGAAGAAGCTCTAGATCTCATAAAAAGCTTGCCGATGGAACCTAATGATGTAATTTGGGGGTCTCTTTTAGCTGTATGCAGGATGCACAGAAATTTGGATATGGCAGGATATACAGAGAGAACTGGTATACGGGTTCTTATATCTAACATATATGCCTCTGCCGGTAAATGGGCTGATGCTGCATAGGTGAGACTGCAGTTGAAGGAAAAGGTGGCACGAAAAGTGCCTCTATCAAGCTCAATAGAGATAAGTGGAGAGAGTCATGAGTTCAGTTCTGGTGATGAATCACATCAAGATGATCCATATAGCACCAATGCTGGACGAAATGCACTGCAGATAAGGGCTGCCGGCCATGCTCATGATCTAACTAATGTTCCGCTGTTCTTACTGCCATTCATTTGCGAAATTGGTGTAAAAAATATGACAGAAATTATTGTCCGAGATAATTACAGATTTAACCTTTTTCGTAGAGGGGTCTGTTCTTGTGAAGATTATTTGTAATACCGTAACAGAGAGTAAAGAAAACTTGCAACTTTAATGATTCTTGTATATTTTTCACATGCAAATAAAAATTTCTTGTTATATTCATACACCTGTTTAGTTGCAATACTGAAATGAACTTCATAATTATCCTTCATTTAGATGCAGAAGACATTAGCAGGCTTGACAACCAAACTACATGTTTACCAAAAAGTTTATGCAATGTGGTTGACACTACAAACGTCCATGGGAAAAGAGATGGGTGGACAAGAACTTTTCATCGTGAATTGATTTCATGTACTCTGAAAGACTGAAACCGTATTAACAAAATAACAACATTTTTACCGGATGAAATGGAGGAAAGACAGATACTCATGTTTTCAACCTCTCCTACTTTGGATCCATCACTTTTGTTGAGTTGTTCAGACAATTTACCCCAGAATCAGGCACAGGGCATGGGCATGTGAAAACTTATGGACCCTTGTACATGAATTTCACAATTGCGGAAAAATGGAATCAATGAATGCATGGCGCATTGGATCTGAATGCCATAGTTTGGCTATGTGATGATAAGACGAGGTCTGTCGATGGAGTTCTTCAATGAGCCAGACAGTGGCTTCTGCTTTGCAGGGGTGAATGACAATATCCAGGGGGCTATGCTCATCCTCACTGCCGATCCTCAAATGATCCCACTGTTTTAGGAGAATGTTAGTGAGGTAATGCAGAGGTTGCCCATACAATTGTTTGATGGATCTGCCTAATCCCATCCATGTGGTGAACGGAATAATAGAGCCTCGGTGTGTCGGAATTGGTAATTGCTTCATATATTCCTGATAAACTTCAGCCTTTCTGATCAACAATCCTGATTTTATGCAACAAGAATATTTATAAGAACAAGAAGTATCCCTAAAGAATGCATTCCCATAATGAAACCATTTTTTTGGGTATTTGAAAATGTTAGGATTTGATTCAAGATCAACAAATCTAAATCAGTGCAACACTCTAACATCAGACCACAAAGCCTTTGGCCATACAAAAACCATTTTTGACTCTTGATTTTAACAGAAACAACAACACGGGCGGAACACTAGATTTGTTTGAAGAATTGAAGATAAAATTGCCTATGGCTTTCCATATCACAATTAATAATCATCTTGTTAATCAAAACAGAACTGTCTGGTTCTAACAGAGAAAATGAAAGGATTTAGACAAAGAAATAATTGTAGGATCAATCAATTGGAAGAAAATTCGAAACCCATTTAAGAAAACTACCTTCAGAAGATGATTCTTTAGGAGGTTGATCAACTGTGACATTTGTAGTTCCATCATTGACCTGAAACCCAACATCTAAAGAAGAAGAAGAAGAAGATGATGATGAGGAAGATTCATCTGATGAAATTACATCAACCTGGTCACTCCATGGCAATCCCCTCTTCATGCTGTTCACAATGCAGCCTTCCTGAAGTAAAACAAATTATCACCCAGATAATCAAATTCCGAGGTAAACCCATATAAAAAGACACCCAGATGAAATAAAAACGACGAAATGAAATCGAAAGTTAATATTTCAATTCAGGCTTGTAAAAAACAACAAAAAAAAAACCTTGAAATATTCTTACCCGAAATTTCTCCTGTTAACAGAGAGAGAGAGAGAAAGGGAAATCTGACTTCAAGTTTCCTTAACATAAACCCTAACAAAATATTATTCCTCTCCTGGGTAGATGGACCTGCTTAGATTTGAATAATTTTCTATTTTAAAAGAATATAAACGAATTGGGTAAATTCCTTTCACGATCCTAAAGTTTGAAATGAGTATCATTTGAGTCCCTGAATTTTAAATGTAACGATGGTCGTAACAAAAGGATATTTTCGTCAACAAAACCTTCAATTAAATCGTTAAATACTAAAATTATAAAAAAGGATGACGATAAAACTTTTCAATTTAATATTAATAATTTTGATAATTATTTAAAAAATAAAATTACTGTTTTATTTTAATTTTTTTTAATAAATACTTTTTTGAGTTTCGTTTTAAGATAAAAAAGTTTATATTTGGAAAATAAAAATTAACTATTTTCTTCCAATTTATTTAATTTGTTTAAAACATATAATTAGATTATAAATCATCATAAAATATTTTATTGTATATTTGTCATTTATTTTTTAATATTTCATCATCATAAAATATTTCTTCCAAATTCAAGTTTTTTTAATTATAAAATATTAGTATACAATTTTTAATAAGATATTATAAATTTCACACTATCACTCATTAAATAAAATGATAAATTCAATTATTTGGACTACAATTAGAGATTTTCGTGAATCAAGCTAATCTTAGGTGATACTTTCAAAGTTTCTTTCAAGATCCAATTTAATTTGTTCATTAAAAATTTGAATATTCCATTTTACTATTCAAAATTAAAATATTAAAAATATATATTTTTATTAATATTTTTATATTTTTTAAATATATTTAAAAATATAAATTAAATAAAAAATTTTTATTAATAAAATAATAATTTTACTAGATCAAACTTAGTCTTTAAAAATTATGTTTAAAACTCAATTTGAGTTGAGCCTAATGAATAAATCATGTTGACAATTAAATTTATGGATAGGTTTGATTATAACTCAGCAAAATTTTTCTTGAAAGAATAAAAAAGTATTAATTAATTGAAAAATTAACATCACAAAAATAACAATAAAAAAAAGAATTAATATAAAAATAAATTTTTTTAAACTTATAATGTTATCTTTATAATTATTTTATCATTTAACCTTAAATTTATAATATTATCAATCTATTATCTTATTTTATAATTTTTCTTTTATCTTTTCATTTAATAGTTCAATTAATGGTCGTTACGATCTTTAAAATATAAAAAATAATATGTTACATTTTTAAAATTCGAGAACAAAAATGATATTCACCTCAAACTTTCATAACCTTGAATGTAATTTACCCAAACAAATTTGATTTTTTTCCCTCTTCACTTGCAAAAAATTTCAAAAATTGTCATTTATAGCATTTCTAAAATTTCCATTTTGAGAAAAATTTCTAAATAATTATAATTAATTTTCAATTTAATTAATTTTTTTATATTTTATACTTATTGTTTAATAAATAATTAAATATTTATTTTTATTATATTTTTTCTTATTACTTACTAAATTAATTAAACAATTTTATAAATAAAAATAGACATATAATGATAAGAATACATTAACTATTTATAGATATTCGAAATTTGATTATTAAATAGGATTCTTCATTGGTTATATCGAAAGATATTGGTGATTTGCATGAAAAAGATCTTTTGTATAATGAGATTTATTAATATAAGCAATTCCTATGTAGAGATTAAAATTATAGGACTAGACATATATTTCGTAAAGCTAATTTTTGTGGGAAATTTCTGGCTACTTGGAATTTAAGGGAATGAAGCTTGTGGAGGGTTAGCTATTCCTCGCCGGATGTTATGAAATTTATAGAGGGGGATATTTTAAGAATGGCACGGCTTAGAGCCTTTAGATTGTAAGTGGGCTCACCCTCTCTTTTGTGAAAAAAATAAAAATTACATCAATTTATATTTCTTATTAGTCTTATTCATTATTAGTCTTATTCAAGAAAATAATTATATATAAAAATAAAGATTTTTTCTAGTTTTAATTGGTTAAAAAAGCTAGTATAAAATTATTTATTTAATGCATAAAATCATCAACTTTGCTAATTACAATTAATAAAATATTTCATGTGAAAATAATTCTCAAAATAATAAGGACAATACTTGGTATAATTTTTTGGCTATAAAAATTATAATTAAATGAAAATTGTAATTGAAAAAAAAATCAATAAAATGATAAATTTAATTCAGTAAATCATTTATGAACTTTCAATGAAAAATTTTATTTCAATAAACTCTATGAATAAATCATACAATATAGTTTTTTAATACCTCTCAATATTCTATTTATAAATATTATTGTTTAAAATTAATAATAATAATAATAATTATAATAATAATAATAATAAAAAGCCCTGCAAAAGTGCAAACCAAACAAAACCGATGCTTCCTCGCAAAGACGCGAGTCGGCTCATATTCGAGGTCATTTGCATTTCTCCATGCTTGGTTTTCTTTAATGATCACCTCAAAAAATGCTTCCAAAACACCAATTCTTGAACCTCATTTCCTGTTCCTATCGTCGAAGAAGCCTGAATGCTAATTCTCTGAATCACTACTGCTTCTCCGCTCTCTTCACCACTATCAACACTAACCCATCATCTTTCCCTGACTCATCCACCATATCCGAGTCGCCCGACATTCCAAGTTGGGTCACTGACCAAAAAACAGAAACTCAAACCTCGGAAGATGACGATTTTGTCATCCCTTCACTAGCCTCTTGGGTCGAAAACCACCCCAAAGTTAAACATTTTCCAACCAAAAAACCTGAAACCCAAGTAGACAAACTCACTAAAATCCTCAAAAATCCCTACCCGTCACCTGATAAAGTTGTCCAAGTCTTAAATGGGTCTACTTTTAGTGTTTCCAACGTCTTAATTGAGCAACTATTGAAGCGTTTTAGTAATAGCTGGATTTCAGCTTATGGGGTCTTCATTTGGGCGAAAAATCAACCAGGTTATACGCATACTCCTGAGTTGTACAACTTCATGGTTGATGCATTGGGGAAGGCTAAAAAGTTTGATTTAATGTTCGATTTAGTTGAGGAAATGAATCAGTTAAAAGGGTATATTAGTTTGGATACAATGGTTAACGTTATGAGGAGATTAGCTAATGCTCGTCGGTTTAGTGAGGCTATTGAGGCTTTCAGAAGGGTAGAGGAATATGGGGTTGAAAAAGATGTAATGGCTTTGAATGGATTGTTGGATGCATTGGTTAAAGGGGATGGTGTAGAGCATGCTTATGAAGTTTTTGTTGAGTTAAAGGAATGCATACCTTTGAATTCTAGTAGTTTTAATATTTTGGTACATGGATTTTGTAAGGCTAGGAGATTAAATGATGCTAGGAAGATTTTGAATGAGATGGAGGAACATGGGTTTAAGCCTTGTGTTGTTTCTTATACTTGTTTCATTGAGGCTTATTGTCGCGAAAAGGATTTTCGCAATGTGGATGCTGTTTTGGATGAAATGAAAGAGAAAGGGTGCAGGCCGAATACAGTGACTTATACTATTGTTATGCATGCCAGAGGGAAGGCAGGGGAGATCGGGAAAGCATTGGAGGTTCATGAGAAGATGAAGAATGATGGTTGTTTACCAGATTCTTCGTTTTATAGCTCATTAATTTTCATTCTAAGCAAGGCTGGCAGGCTTAAAGATGCGGATGAAATCTTTGAGGACATGAAAAAGCAAGGTGTTAAGCCAAATGCGTTGACATATACTACAATGATTTCTTCTGCTTGTAGGCATTCACTCGAAGAGAAGGCATTGAAGTTGCTTCAGAGGATGGAAGAGGATTCGTGCAAGCCAGATATTTCAACTTATGTGCCTTTACTGAAAATGTGCTGTAGGAAGAAGAGGATGAAGGTACTCAATTTTTTGTTATGCCACATGTTAAACAACGACATCAGTATTGATCATGCAACCTATAACGCTTTGGTCCGTGGGCTTTGTAATAGTGGGAAACTTGAGCAAGCTTGTGTATTCTTTGAAGAAATGGTGCTGAAGGAAATGATACCCAAGGACTCCATACGTAAGATGCTGTTAGAGAAACTTGAGAAGGAGAATATGACTGAAGCAAAACAACATACTCAAGAATTGCTGCTAAATGTGAAAGAGCCAGAAAGAACCTAGTATTTCCTCCGGGAATGCTTGTTTAGATTCAGAATAAATCAACCAACCAATGTATCTCTTCCAGACACACATGCATCCCCCGTTGGCCTACTTGAATGCTTAGCATATCTACATAAACTTTCTTATACGTCCTGGTCCTTTGGGCCTCTTGAACCTTGATACATGCAATAATATTTGCTTTTCTTATGTCATATTTATTATTCTTTGAGGTAGAAAACCACAAATTCTTCTAGTTGTTTGTAGGACTTGACAATTGGCATCCAGAGGGCGATCCAATAGTTCAACTTCTAGGTCTAGTTCTAGGTGATGAACTGAATGGGTGCAATAGACTTGTTCGTTAGAACTTCCTGGGATGATATTCTTCATTTTCATCAGAAATCTGGCCGCTGCATATGCATTTTATATGGTAAAGCCGTCTTCAAGAATCTGTGTGTGGAGTCATGTTATCAATGTGGTAGCCTAAAGGCTGAGACAACTCAACAGTTAAAATTTCAGATTCCAACTTAGAGATCTCGAGTTAAAATTCAAGATGAAAGGAATAGGTTTAATGAATAAATACATCTATTAATTTACATTTAATCACATAGGTATTGTCTTTTGTTGTTTGCAATTAATGAATTTAAACTTGTGTGCGAAGTCAACTCTCTTGATGATGTTGGTCTCTACCAAGGAAATCCTCAATTAACCTACATATTCCACATTGGTAGTAATTAGGTAACAATGTAAAGCAAACCAAATGACAGGAATGGCAAAGAGTGTACTCACAAACTGCAGAATGCAGATGGCCTTCTTTGAAAAAGCCCTGTCACGGTCAGGGAATGATTCCTCCAACCTATCGAGAACTCAACCAAACATAGAGTTCCAAGACCTTCAGTAGCAAACAACAAGAAATTTCAATTACACGAGTCCCTGAGATGAAATTTCATCGTTCATGTCAACTGGACTGCACAAAAATTGAACTACCGCATAAGGAAATAATCAATTAGTTCTTCATATCTGCTACATACTATGCCCAGCCAGTCGATTCCAAGCAGTTAAATAATAATAAGCAAACAGGAAATTGCATCTCTAAAACTAACAGGCAAACTCAATACCAAATTTCGGGTTGTTGGAGGGAGAAATATCAAAGATGTTACCTGATGCAGAAGGTACATATCTTGCAACCGAGAGGCATGCAGTTCATCACTAACAGTGGCAACTTTCTGATGACAATGAAGAGTCTTTTAGCAATCAATGTGAAATAGACACATGATAACCATCGATTCATAAGGAGAGATATTGTTATCTGACAACAAATTTCCTTCTGTAAGGAGTTTCCTATCATCACTCCCCCATTAATTAGAAGGGAACATGACTGAAGAAACTTAGCAATTGTACCCCAATTGCATCACTGGCCACAAGAACATCAACCTCACTGCTTGCATCATTAAACATTGTTGCCTGCAATCCTGAAGAACGTATTAACTAACGATAAACAAAAATAAACTGCAACCTGGGATATTAAAAACACAAGAAGATGTATAATACCATCAATATAAACAGATACATCAAAGTAGGCTGCAAGCATGGTAGCAATAACGAAATTACTTTTCTGGCTATTCAACAAATCTAGCAACCAAACACGGTTAACAAGAAAGCAATTTTTCTGCCTATTCAACAGTGCATTTTTATATAGAGAATAAAGAAGTGGAAATCAACTAAGTAGTGCAGCAGAAGGATTATCAAACTTAATTCCATTTATCCTATTTATCATAGGAGGTAGTTCTTCCTGTTGTTAAATGGAGACAGCACAAAGAGATAACCATGAATATGACAATGATAAAAAAAATTTCAAAGATTATACCATAATATGCCTTACAAAAGATATGACCGGAGTTGTCCTCCACCTTATGATCTAGTGGATAAGGAGACTTTATGAAAACATAGAAGTCTTAGTTTCTAGTCAAGGTCTCTTCCTCCTTTTTCCTTGTAAGGGTTATGTGATCCCCTAAATAAATAAATAAAGAAATGTATATGGGTTAAAAGTATGATTTTTACATGAAATAAAATATAAAAAATAAAATTATCCAAAGTAAAGCCATTTAACTTTAAAATGTTACTTCTTCAATAAACGCTTTGTTTTTAACTTCAAAGTTAAATTTTTTTTATTATATTATGAATACTTTAATTTTAAGGTATATTAAAAAGAATTCTTTTCGTGATTAAGAGCGGAATAAATTATATAATTTTTTTTTAAAAAAATTATATTTAATTACTTATCATTAATTTTAAAAATAAAATCATTTATTTTTTCTCTTTTTTTTTTCCACTTCCACATTTTATTCATTCTTTCAATTTTCAATCCCTCCAACTTTAACAATATATGTTCAAGTTGAGAATAATTAACTGTGAACTACAAACAAAAGACGTTAATGAAATAATCAAGTAAATCTAAACTTTCATCAAAATAAAGAATTCTTTTAATCTCTTAAATAATTCTTTAATACATATTATTCTTTCAGTTTAATGTAATCTCTATAATTAATTTTTTGAATGTATTTTTTCTTTTAAAATGTGCTAATTGTTATTCTCATGAATAAAAATAATATCAAATCAAATACAAATTAATTACATGCCTATCATCAACAATTAGTACTTTGTAATTCATTGAACAATTTGGACATTTCAATTGAACTTCACACCTGTAAAATTAGATGATACAAAAAGTGATAAGCTTCCAATAATTAAAGATTGGATCTTGCCAAATTTCCTATAGAATTATTCACATTGAGTAAAATAGCGAGTGAATGAGTGATTTAATTTCCTCTAAACTTTTATCTTGATCTGTACACACACACACACACGCACATACGCACACACATATATATTTATATATGATTAATTTCTCTCAAAATGATTGAATCTTTTCAATTGTATTAAATTGCTTCCATTTTTGTGTTATCCAATTAGTTGAAAGAACTTTCTTGAATTATTTTAAGTAGAGAGTTATTAAGTAAAGGAAGATAAATTATTTTTAATGAATTCTTTCAAGGTGGAATGAAATTCATTAAAACCATCTTTTAAATGTATTTATGCCAAAATTATATTTATTCATGAAAGTTTATATTATTAATATTGAAAATAAAAATTTTATAAATTGCATGGGTACTACTACATAACAAGTTTGCTATGCTGATGATTGAAATTTACTTAAGAAGAAAATAATACAAATTACAAACGTTAGAATTAATTTTATTTTATGTTTAAAACTATGTATTTTAATATTTATATATAATAAAAATTCATGTATAACAAATATTTTCAGATAATAGAAAAATTAAACATTCAATTGGTAGAATATATAATTACATTCATTTGATGAAAACATCAATGGAAGATTAATTATTATCATAATGTACAAGCCCAAAAACTTAATTGATAGAAATAAAATTTATGATTCACCATCAATTATTTTTATCTAGGTATAATTCATCACCTAATGAATCTTTCCTTTTAAATATATTTTAAGCTTGACTAAAACTTTTAAAAAAATAGGTTTTGGTCTAATTATCATAACTAAATTAGGTACTTCAGTTACATGTGGAGAAAGTTGTAACATCCATTTAACACCTATCTTAGGGATAGTAAAAATTAATTCTAAATTATTTAAAAATTATCTTGGTTAAAAATGATATTTTTATTTGAAGTTTTGGAAATTAATATTTACTTTACAAGTAAGAAGAATGAAAATTATAAATTTCAGGGAAGCCAAAATGTAAAAATTAGGTGTGTAAGATTAGAAGCAAATTAAGATTTTAATTACATGAATAAAAATAATATCAAATCAAATACAAATTAATTACATGCTTGTTATCAACAATTAGTACTTTGTAATTCATTGAACAATTTGAACATTTCAATTGAACTTCACACCTGTAAAATTAGATGCATCATTAAAAAAGTGATAAAGCTTCCATATTAAAGATTGGATCTCCGCCAAATTCCAAATAAGAATTATTCACATTTTGTAAAATAGTAAGAGAGTGATTTAATTTCCTCTAAATTTTTATCTTGATCTATACATGTACACATACATACATATTTTTATATATGATTAATTTCTATCAAAATGATTGAATCTTTTTCAATTGTATTAAATTGCTTCCATTTTTTTGTCATCTAATTGGTTGAAAGAGCTATTGTGAATTATTTTAAGTAAAGAATTATTAAGTAAAGGAAGATAAATTATTTTTAATGAATTCTTTCAAGGTAGAATGAAATTCATTAGAACCATCTTTTGAATGTATTTATGCCAAATTTATATCTATTCATGAAAATTTATATTATTAATACTAAAAATAAAAATTTTATAAATTACATGGGTGCTATATAACAAGTTTGCTATGCTGATGAGTGAAATTTACTCAGGAAGAAAACAAGATAAGTTACAAAGGTTAGAATCCATTTTATTTTATGTTTAAAACTCTGTATTTTAATATTTATATATAATAAAAATTCATGTGTAACAAATATTTTCAGTTAACAGAAAAATTAAGCATGCAATTGATAGAATATATAATTACATTCATTCAATGAAAGCAACAATGGAGGATTAATTATTATCATAATGTACAAACCCAAAAACTTGATCACTATACATAAAATTTATGAGTCACCACTAATTATTTTTATCTAGATATAATTAGTCACATAATAAATCTTTCTTTTTAAAGATAGTTTAAGCTTGACTAAAACTCTTAAAAGAATAAGTTCTTATCTAATTATTACAATTAGATTAAGTGCTTTGATTACGTATGGAGAAAATTTTAACATCCATTTAACACCTATCTTAGGGATAATGCAAATTAATTCTAAATTATTTAAAAATTATCTTGGTTAAAAATGATACTTTTGTTTGAAGTTTTAGTAATTAATATTTACTTTACAAGTGAGAAGAGTGAAAATTATAAATTTTAGGGAAGCCAAAATGTAAAATTTTGATGTGCAAGATTAGAAGCAAATTAAGATTTTAAAAGTAACAAATCACCAATAATTTAGTGCTAAATCAATTATAACTAATTATAAATTAGTAATGGCAGTAAATCAATAACAACTTAGTAATAAATAAGTATTAACTTAATAGTAAATCATCAATAATTAAATAGTAAATTATCAATAATTTAGTAATAACTTAATAATAAATTAATGACAA